CGATAGAAGATTATCCATACCGGGTATAATAAACTTATCCTTTCAGTACTCAGTTATGGATAAACATTACCCCCGGTAGAAGATTATCCATATCGGGTATAATAAGCTTATCCTTTCAGTACTCCGTTATGGAGAAACATTGCTCTCGGTAGAAGATTATCCATATCGGGTATAATAAGCTTATCCTTTCAGTACTCCGTTATGGAGAAACATTGCTCTCGGTAGAAGATTATCCATATCGGGTATAATAAGCTTATCCTTTCAGTACTCCGTTATGGAGAAACATTGCTCTCGGTAGAAGATTATCCATATCGGGTATAATAAGCTTATCCTTTCAGTACTCCGTTATGGAGAAACATTGCTCTCGGTAGAAGATTATCCATATCGGGTATAATAAGCTTATCCTTTCAGTACTCCGTTATGGAGAAACATTGCTCTCGGTAGAAGATTATCCATATCTGGTATAGTAGCAGCTTACACAACAGTTTCCTTTCTTCTATAAATAGAAGAGAGTTCAGTTCATTATGTACATCAGTTTGAATTCGAATAATATAACAATTTCTCTCTATACTTGTCTTTACTTTACGGTCTTTATTTTATAACAGGATAATTTTTTTTTTTTTTTTGGAATGATGTTAACCTTCCAAAATGAATTATTAATTATTGGAGTTAAATGAAAAGGTTAGGGGTAAATCTGTCAAAAACTAAAGAAATGGAAAAGTGAGACAGCTATATCCACCATGAAAATGATGCTGTCATGAGGTCCACTCAGTTGTGATTTAATGATAACCAACGAACTCCTCCTCAACAGAAATTGAATTTGAGGCTCATTTAAGCTCATATTCATTTGCTGTTTAGAGGAGTTATACTTGTCCCCTTTCAAAACAAGAACGCGGGTAGCACAATAGGCCATCGCCAACAATAACCATATTGGGAAAATCCATTTAAGGTACAAACTTTACCTTGGAATCTTCATTTCTTTTTCATTCTCAATTCAATTTTTTGGAAATTCCTCAATAAAGCTTGATAATTTGGAGAATTTTTTTCTGGGTGTACTCTCTTTGGATTGATCATTAAGTTGGTAGTGTATGTGATTTTCATCTTCTTCTTTTTTTGGGTTCATTTGTTTTGCTGGGAATGGATAATAATTTAACCTGCTGAAGTTAGATTTTGGATCTGCAATTGGGTGTTTTCCATTTGAGTAAAAGCTACCACTAAAGGTTGTAGATGGACAGAATTCCTCCACGCTTAATAGAGGGTCTCGGCTTCGAGTCCTGGAATGCAAAAAAACTCCTGGTAGGAGCGCTTACTCAGCGCGAATCTAGATTACTCCGGCCCCTCCACCCTTAACTAGGGGTCTAGGGTTCGCATCTTGGGAATGAAAAAAATCCTAGTAGGAGCGCATATGCGGGGCGAATCTGAATTAGTCTGGGCCCAAAAGCTGGTACAAGACACCGGATGGAAAACAAAAAAAAAAAAAGGAAATGTCAAAAGCTAGATGTGATTTTATTTGATTAACTTTCACTTTGGTTTTTAGTTTTCTTTCTTTTTGGTAGATCTAGTTCCTTTCAATCTGTTCTTCCATCTTCTCTATATCTGGTTGTGTATCAGAAAAAAATCGTCTTTGAGAATTGACCCGTGCCTGGTTATTCAAAGATTTGCAGTTGATTAAGCATGCACCTCAAATGGCAATTCTGTTGGTTTTTATTATCCAAATGAGACTCCTTTCACATCAAAAAAGAAAGTATGAGTTTGATGGAAAGATCTGATTTACGTTGGATATGCGTCCATATCATTTGTTTTTCAAAAATATATGTGCATGTATCCGAGTTTATGTGAGATGATTATATGAGGTTATTTTCAAAGCCTTTCATGATCTCAGATATAGGCATCAAGTCGATATATGTGAATTTGATTTGCTTATTTAGCCGCAGAACTTGTGCAATTAAACTGATCAGATTAATATGATTTAATGCAATTTCTGTCTTACTGTTTAGGAATAATAGTTGCAGAACCAGTTTGTCTGTCATAGATGAAAGAAACAAATTACCCCTTTTTGTTGCTATCGTTTTGTGTATAAGGATTTTTCACTTATTGTGGTGTTTGATCTTCTATATTATACAAGATATTTATATGTTTTCAGTTTAGTAGCATAAATATAGTCTTTTTTAATTTCCAGAGCACATAAAAGATGGCAGAAGGTGAGGAAATTCAGCCTCTTGTCTGTGATAATGGAACTGGAATGGTTAAGGTAACTACAATATTTCACTCGTCTCTACTGAATGTTTTGGTGACATTGAATACAACATTGCCCTTATTTGATCTGACTGCTGACTGTTAATCGTGGCCTAAAATTGTTAGGCTGGATTCGCCGGAGATGATGCTCCAAGAGCTGTGTTCCCTAGCATTGTTGGACGCCCTCGTCACACTGGTGTGATGGTTGGCATGGGCCAGAAGGATGCTTATGTTGGTGATGAGGCTCAATCCAAAAGGGGTATTTTGACTTTGAAGTATCCAATTGAACACGGAATCGTTAGCAATTGGGATGATATGGAGAAAATTTGGCATCACACCTTCTACAATGAACTTCGTGTGGCTCCAGAAGAACACCCTGTTCTCCTCACAGAAGCTCCTCTTAATCCAAAGGCCAATCGAGAAAAGATGACTCAGATCATGTTTGAGACCTTCAACGCCCCTGCCATGTATGTCGCCATTCAGGCTGTTCTTTCCCTCTATGCCAGTGGACGTACTACTGGTAAGCTTTGTCTTCAGTCAACCACCTTTAAATATGTGTATGTAGTGCTTGAAATCCAGCTCTTTTAGTGATGTTTGTGAATGATTTTTTGGTCCAAACATTATGTTGAATCCTGTGCTTTTTTATGTCAGGTATTGTGCTGGACTCTGGTGATGGTGTCAGCCACACAGTTCCCATCTATGAAGGTTATGCTCTCCCACACGCAATCCTGCGTCTTGATCTGGCAGGGCGTGATCTCACAGATCACCTCATGAAGATTCTCACAGAAAGAGGCTACTCTTTCACCACCACGGCCGAGCGGGAAATTGTTAGGGATGTGAAGGAGAAGTTGGCTTACATTGCTCTTGACTATGAACAAGAACTTGAAACAGCAAAGACCAGCTCATCCGTGGAGAAGAGCTACGAGCTGCCTGATGGACAGGTTATCACCATTGGTGCTGAGAGATTCCGCTGCCCAGAAGTTCTGTTCCAACCATCAATGATCGGAATGGAAGCTGCTGGTATTCATGAAACCACATACAATTCCATCATGAAGTGTGACGTTGATATCAGAAAGGATCTGTATGGAAACATTGTCCTCAGTGGTGGTACCACCATGTTCCCGGGCATTGCTGATAGGATGAGCAAGGAAATTACCGCATTAGCTCCAAGTAGCATGAAGATCAAGGTTGTCGCCCCACCTGAGAGGAAGTACAGTGTTTGGATTGGAGGATCTATTTTGGCCTCTCTCAGCACATTCCAGCAGGTTTGCAAAATCAAGATCTCTTTACTTCTTGCAGTCTGCTGCATTTCATATTTGCAATTCTTAAAGTTTAACCACTATCTCATCACACCATTGTCAACAATAACTCAAAAATGCCAGTTATCTGAGAACAAATGCTGAGCAGTAGTTTATGCTAAATACTTAGCTCTTTAAACTGAATGTGATGAACATTTGTCAAGGCGGCACATGAAAATTTACTTATGGATTTTTTTTCCCGATTACAGATGTGGATCGCTAAGGCAGAGTATGATGAATCTGGACCTTCAATTGTTCACAGAAAATGCTTCTAAATACAGCATTCCAAGAAAGAGAAACAGAAGAAATATACAAACTCTCATTTTGAGAGCAGCACCGCGTTTATTGATTGCATATAATATGCTTCTCATTTGTATTTCCTTTTGATTATTTTTGTTTCTATCTCTTTATCTGAATCAATCTCAAATATTCGGTCATTGTTGGTATGAAAAAGCAAGCAGTTCATGTTAAGAGTCAATTTAAAATTAATATTTTTATATAGAGTTGTATGTGAAATGATGTTGTGATTTGGTATATGGATAAAGAGCTTGTCAGTTCATTTTATATATTCTCTTGGTCTCAATTTTTATGGTATCCAAATAAGAAACAGAAAATTATAGGTATCACTTGTTATACTATTCGACACTTTCTACCCCTGCCGTTACCTATTTAAATGTATTTACCCCTCCATCTACCCCAGTCTTCCTGTTACACGTGGCTTCATCTTAAGCCCCCAAACCTTTTTCTTATTTTTGATTTTTAGAGCCCCATCTTAAAATTTATTACTCAAATCAATACCTCTTAGTAACCCACCCCAAGGACCCCAGTAATTAAATATCCAGATTAGCTCCAGTACTTGGGGTTCATATTAGCTCCAGTCTTAAATTTTAAAGGCCACGATCTTGGTTCATTTATGCTCAAAGAATACTCAATGTTCTTTAGTGTTTAGATAACTTTTCGTAAATCATATAGATTGTTTCCAAAAAGAAAAAGAAACAACTCAATAGTATATTTTCCCATAAAAGTTACTCAAAAATTCTTTAAAATTACTTTCTCAAAAAATTGTTCCAAACATTTCCCATAATTAATCTCAATCTGTTTTCCGAAACCTAAATCAAAACCAATCCAACTACCTTATATTATATATAATCAATACATTGTAAAGAACGGCATGTTCTTTTGAGCTTTGGTAGGCAAAGTTATTCGGTAAACAAATGATATGTGGAATAGTCGAGGTGTAAACAAGCTGACCGACATGATTGTTATAAAAGAAAAAGATTTCTTTTGAGTAAATCAGTTGCACAAATATAATTATTTGGTGCCACCCTTTAAATTTTTACCCTGGTAGAAAGTCATGGGAAAATAGTCTCCAATCAAATTTTTGAACCATGTTAGTCAGAATTTCTTCGGCATGTCTTATGGCGATTTGTCAGAATTCTGACGGTCGCCATATAGCACACACCGTATTAGGGTGGAGTGGATGAAGTGGAGGTTAGCATCTGGAGTTCTGTGTGACAAGAGAGTGCCACCGATACTCAAAGGTAAGTTTTACAAAGCGGTGGTTAGACCGGCCATGATGTATAAGGCTGAGTGTTGGCCTGTTAAGAACTCACATATCCAGAAAATGAAAGTAACAGAAATGGGGATGTTGAGGTGGATGTGCGGGCACTCTAGGATGGATAAGATTAGGAATGAAGATATTTCAGATAAGGTAGGCGTGGCTCTCATTGATGACAAGATGCGAGAAGCAAGGCTCAGATGGTTCAGACACGTACAAAAGAGAAGCCCAGATGCTCCAGTAAGGAGGTGTGGGCGGCTGGTTTTGGAGGGCATGAGAAGAGGTAGAGGACCTCCTAAGAAGTATTGGGGATAGGTGGTCAGGCAGGACATGGGGAGACTTCAGATTTTCGAGGACATGACCCTTGGTAGGAAGCTGTGGGGGTCGAGTATTAGGGTTGTAGATTAGGAGATAGTTGAGTTTTTTCTTACTTTGTCCCTTCGTGAGGTTACTCTGGTAGGGTTTCTGTCGAAGTCAGCTAGTGACAATGTTGTGTCTTACTACTATTTTGTTTTCCATAGTGTCGGGTCTATGTACCGTCTATCGTTTTTACTTTGCATCTACTTTCATATTTTCATGATGTTATTTTTCCTATATTTTCTATTGGTGGTACTGATATTATCTCTTTTTGTCTTCTTGGGCCGAGAGTTTTTCGGAAACAACCTTTCTACTTCTTTGTGATTGGGGTAAGGTCTGCGTACATACTACTATCCCTAAACCCCACTAATAGAATTCTACTGGATCGTTATTGTTGTGTGCGGTCACCATAATTTTATAAGTTATGATGATCGTCACAAAATTCTGAATGATCACCTGAACTTTTCGCGTTATGGCTGAAAGCAGGATTCCTTGTGCTTCAAAATTGTGACCAATGTGCTTTAAAATTCTAATTAGTGTGCTCTAAAGTTCTGATGCAATTTTTTTTTTTAAAATTTCTTAGTAAGGTCAAAATATAAACGGTAATTTTAAAGAGGTTCATCCAAGGGGTGTTAATGGTTCAGTTCGGTCGGTTATTTTGTAAATTTTGTACCATACTAATTTTTTGATTATTCTATTATGTATAATCAAAATTAGACTTTTCGAAACCGTCCCAATTATATCGGTTCCTCTTCGGTATCGGTACGGTTGGGTTAATTTTCTGTATTTTTTTAAAATATCATATAAAAGTCACTAGTAGAAGTAGAATGCAATAACATAAAGTAAAATGTAATAACATACATACTTTTTTAGGACTTAACAAATCTCTCTAGATATTTTTACATTTTAAAGGGTGATAAATTAAGAAAATATAAAAGATGGCTAGAGTAAAGATCCATCAACTACTCTATAACAACGTAAAAGAAACTAAACAAATTAATGTAAAAAAATATAAATCACACGAGTGGAAAGATATTAACCAAGTTGGAACTGAGACTCAAGAATAAAATCTATAGAAGATTAAATATTCAAAAAGATAAATCTAGATCATACGAAAGGAAACATAATCAATGCATTGTAGTTTGCTACTGATAACCGCTAAATAACTTGTGTCTTGCTAGTGAATATGTTGGAAATAATTTAGTTTCAATAGGAGTAGCATAATAGGTTTGAGAATTATGTTTTGCGATTATTACTTGTTGTCTCGAAATTGTTTTCATAATTCCAATACCCAAGGAAAATGTAATGTTTTATTATTTTTGAACTTAATATATAAATATAATTTTCATATGTAAATTTGTTCGGTACGGTTCAGTATTTTTTCGATTTATTTTTATAAAATAAAAAATTTATTCTAATTATCGGTACGGTTATAAATTTATATAAAAATCTACGGTTTTATTTAAAGGAATCAAAAATTCGATTTGGTACCGTACGGTTCGGTTGGTTTAGTCGGTTTTTAAATACCACTGTTTCGGATAGAAGGATGTAGAAGGAGCTTCAACACAATGGGATGACATTCAAAGGAAGCTTGGAAATCACCCTCCAAAACCCCCTGCTTTTAAGCCTCCACCTTTTACTCCTGAAACTTCCAATTCCAAGCCTAAAGACAAAGATTGGATAGATGAAAAGACCCAAGATGAACTTGATGAACTTGAAGATGATCCCCAACTCAACGACGATCGCTTCCTCCAAGAATACAGGTTTCGCCCTTCTTCCCCTTTTTTTTATTTTCAATTTTCGCACTTTGATTCCTTAATTATTCTTTTGGATCGCTCCTGAAAGACCCCTTTAGGATATTAAAAAAGAAATCCGTTCAAGTCCCTTCTTTTTCAGTTCATTGCCGCTTAATTTTTTGGGACAAGTGTTAGTGTGCCACGTATTTTGATATTTTGTATTATCCATGTGAACGTAGTTCAAATTGACCGAACTAACACATTAAATATTTGTGTCTCTTTTGTTATCTGATTTATCGTCGTTCAAGATTCGATTTACTATCTTTCGCATGACACCTAATTATTTTGATTTTGTGGACCCCTTAAGACGAAAAGGGGGAATCTTTGGTCTTAAAGAAGTTTTTTCTTTGAACTCATGGACATCCTTAACTGAAAGATGATTTCTTTTGAATGCATGATATCACCATAGTGATGTTTGTTCTTGTAGGGATCATAGTTGTCCTTTGGTTTGTATATTTGACTCCTGAGCTTCTAGTTGAATGAGAGTTAACTAAGGAAAGCATTGTCATATTCACTTTACTAGGTTAAAAGGTTGGAGAAGAACAGTCCAAGCAGACATGGTAAAATATGCGGGAAATAACTTGTTTAGGACTTGTCTACAACTGGTAACTCGAAGTATTCTGCACTAAAATCCAAGAATAAAGCTCCCAAAATAAAAAGGATTTATGACATACACTTATCTTTGACTCCTTCCTCACCCCCCCCCCCCCCCCAAAAAAAAAAAAAAAAAAAGAAAAAAGAAAAAAGGAAATCCTGATAAGTAAGAAACGTAAGTACTCTTGGCTAAAGATATGAGTCACAAGTGGAATAAACTCCAAATCAATGTTCACAATGATGCTCCAACTAGGTTTCTTGAGTCATTTCATTTCTAGATTAGTTCAATTTCTTTGTTGTAAACGTATAAGCTACTCTCCCTATAAATTCTAGACTATGGATGTTAACTTAATAACATTTTATTAGAAATAATATGTGCTTATCAAGCTATCGTGAAGTTAGAGTTTGGAGGGCATTATAAAGAATGACCATTAAGCTTGAGAATTGAGATGGAGTTGAGCGGTTCTTATATTCTTTTTTTCTTGTTTTCAAATGCTATAGGAAGAAGAAGTTGGCTGAGATAAGAGAAGCTGCTAAGATTGCACGATTTGGAGCAGTGTTACCGATTTCTGGATCACATTTTGTGCGGGAGGTTTCCCAAGCTCCAGATGATACTTGGGTGGTTGTGCTTCTTTATAAGGATGGGTAATTATTACGTTCATCTCCTTATTTAGTTATCCATTCAATCTTCAAATATGTTTTATCTGTACTTGGTAACTTTCTTTCTTCAATTTTAACCCTGTGCCTGTCCTTTGTTGATGTCTCTCTCTTTGATAGATATTCAGGATGTCAGATACTGTTACAATGCTTAGAAGAACTAGCAATGAGATATCCTGCAACAAAATTTGTCAAAATTATCTCTACAGATTGCATCTCAAACTACCCAGATCGTAATCTTCCTACTGTTTTGGTTTACAACAATGGTGCACTGAAGTCAAACTACGTTGGACTTCACAATTTTGGTCGGAGATGCATACCTGAAGTTATGTTCTCATTGTGTCTGTCCCTCGCCCCTTTCTCCTGTCCTTCTTTTTCTTGCAATATTTTTGCATGCCCTGGTGGAGTTTTTACTGTCTGTGCCAACTCCTTTCTTTCATTTGATCTTTTAATGGATAATTAATTCGATGGCTTTTTTACAGCTGTGTCTGAGGTCCTGTGGAGATATTTTGTATGGCTTTTCATGTTGAGTTCTAGATGATAAGGCTTCACAATTTTCTCCTCCTATGGAAGTTATTCAAGAGATCAAGCAATGTGTTTCTCGTTATATAAAAAATTAAAAAAGTAATCACTCCCTATGTTCCATATACAATGTCACATAAGGAGAAGTTAAGGACAACCTCTTCCCTTTCTACCTAAATTTAGAATGAAAAGGCACCATTCACAGGGCTGAATTTTTATTAAACATCTAACAGAAGATTGACTAGAAGATATAGAGGACTGACTAAAAGAATTGTCATCTTTCTTTTTGTTATGATAAATATCACATTATGGTGGATGTCTACTCTTCTTCCATGATCTTCATCTCAAATGCTTAATGACATATTCAATGACATATTTTGTATGTTCAATGACATATTCCATGACATATTTTCTTCACTTTTATGCCTATATAAATGCCTTGTAATAGATAGAAAAATACACACAATTGAAGAAGAAATAAGAATCTCTCTTCCTCTCTTTCTATCCATATCTCTTAGTTTGTTTTGCTTGTTCTATATTGTTATTTTGGGTTATATTTTATAACACGTTATCAACACGAGGCTCTACCATCTCAAGAAGATCTTTGAGAAAATTAAGGTATAATTTTTCTCAAATTTGTATTTTTTTTAAA